TGTGGCTTTCGTCATTTTCTGGTCCTTCGATGTTCTTTATTTTTTGTGCACATAGAAGCTGATTTTCCAGTTCGACGAATGCTTTCTTTAGTCCATGAAAGCGACGACGTATTACAGACGTCAGGCGATATATCTTGATTTTGAAATGAATTGTCGATATATGCTACCCCAATAATAAGCCATATTCCTACTTGTGTCTTGTTTTATATTAATTATATATTCAGTGTAAAGAATGTATTAGGTTTTATCACTGTTAAGGATATTTGCAGTTTGACGACTTTGATAAGGAAATAATTGTTTTACTCGCGTTTCAAGGGAGTAATAAATGTTTACTTAACGGGTTTGTAGAAGTTGATTATTTTATGGAATAGTAGTCCATTATTAAGCAATTATGGATTGTGAGAAATGGCTATCATTGGGAGAGCTCTAGGCTTGGGTTGAAGGACGGGGATTTACGTGATTATGTTCAAAAGAAAGAATCAGAATATCATGAAAGAAAAGAAAGAAGTTAAAAAACGAGGCTGGGGGTCGCCTTGATACCCCCCCTGCACCGGTTTGAGGCCAAAAATTGCCAAAAAATTTGAAAAGTCCCAAAAAAATGACATAGAGCGATATAGAAGGGAAATTTTTTAAAATTCTCCAATTAAATCAAGGAAAGGAAAGAAGATAAAAGGGCAATAAGCTTTAAATTTGTTATTAAAAGGGCAAAAAGGGCTTGAAGTTTTTCCCTAATTTTGCCCCTGAGCAAGCATCAAAATATCAAAATTTTAAAAGATACCATATGCAAACAGGACAGCGGTAGAGGATGTTATTAAGAAAATGCTTGAATGTGGTAAACAAACTTTGATTATAATTCTTCAATTGTTTTGGTGAAGAAAAAGGAAAGGACAACGTGTGCGCAGATTACCTAAGTAGACTCGATACCGGAAAAGAGACATTGTAGATTATTCATATTGCTTGAAAACAGTGGAGTGTTTTCTTGAGTAGGGGGCTGTCAGAATAATCATACAGTTTATCTGAAGATATACATATTTTACAACGAGTTAATATTTCCCTACATCATATCCTGTTTCAATGACAATTAGTTATTTCACTCAATTGCTGTGCGTATGTACATGTAAATGTCAAACAGCAAGGGAGAGATGTTACATCATTTAGGGAAGGCGCACTTATAATGTGTTGCGTTTATTTTTTTGTTGAGAAGAGAATTTGTTGTTTTGAAGGGAGTTTTGTTGATTTGTTGAAGTTAAATGGTTGAATGTAATTGTGCTGATCTTAATTGATCAGGGTTCATCGGTTGTAATTAGTTGTTTTGGTTGTTGCATTTATTTTTTTTTTTGGGTTGTTGAGTTATATTTGTTTGGTAAGAAATATTTAGTTGATAGATTTCATTAGTTAATGCTTTTTTGAGGATATCTGTAAATATTGGGTGTTTTAGTTTAAGTTGTTTTTCTGATGCTGATTAGATTTTTGTGAAGGTAATATTGTTGTTTGAATGTTTGTGGTTTATACTGTATCTTAGATTTGTAAAAATATTCATTATGCGTTTTTCATTTTTGTGGCGATTTTATAGCTTAATTTGTTTGATCATAAGTTGTTTAGAGCTTGGTCTCGCCATGTATCTAGTTTTATATATAAAAGACGTATATATACGTGAAGAAATACTTGGTATAAGTGGTTCATAAATGGTGTGTGTTTGTTTTGGGTGTAAATAATGATTTTTAACAATTTCATGTTAGTTTTCCAACTGAGAATATTTCAATCTTAAGTCAGGTGGTGCTGCTTGGAAATTGATTCTAGTTTTTTATTACTAAATCTTTCTTTAGATTAAATTACATCAAGGCAGTCATTTCTCCTGACAGCCATAACTCTCCTTAATTAATGTCATTCAGCTGATAAACATGTTTAATATGTGCAAGTACTTGATAAACAGATCAATCCTGTAAAATTTCATTGAAATTGTTTCAGTGGTATAAGAGAAGTAGTCCGGACAAACTTTTAAAAAAAATCATTATTTAAAATACCATAACTCTGACAACAAGAGCCACCACCGGACTGCCTTGTCACATTAGTTTTGTCAAAGTATGAATCCTTTCCATAAATAAATGACAGTAGTAAGAAAATATTATCAAAATTCAGAAGAACAAGAGCCATGTTAACATGGCTATCCCCCGCCGAATGTGTTTGCTCTTTGGAAGAATGTATATGTAGTACAACATAATAATTCAATTTTAAGAGGTTTTTTGGTAATGAAAACTAATGGTTGAAGTGATTACAGATTTAAAACCTATGTGAATACTGATGGCTGAAAATAACAAAGGGCAATAACTGAAAAATAATGCAGGGTAGGTTACCATTGTGTGCTGCATTCCTCCTCAATGAGATCTATCCACCTATGAAGTTTCAAGTTGATACCTCTAACACTTTTTGAGAAAAGCTCCGGACAAAAAGTATGAAAAAAAACCAAAGGGCAATAACTCAAAATTTATAACGGGAAGAGTTATCATTCTTGCGCACAACATTCCTCCTCAATAAGATATATCCACCTATGAAGTTTCATGTTGACATCTCAAAGACTTTTTGAGTTATGCTCCACTCAGGAAAAAATTAAGTATGAAAAATAACAAAGGGCTATAACTCAAAAAATTATGAATTCTTGTGCACTGCACAACTCCTGAGTGAGATCTATCCACCTATGACGTTTCATGTTGTTATCCCAAAAGTTTTTTGAGTTATGCTCTGAACAAAACTTAAGTTTGAAAAATAACAAAGGACAACAACTGAAAAATTATGGAGGATAGAGTTAATATTCTTGTGCACTGCACTCCTCCTCATTATAATCTATCCACCTATGAAGTATCAAGTTGATTCCTCAAATACTTTTTGAGATATGCTCTAAAGAGAAATGGCAGACGGAAGGACAGAGACTTGGAGACTATTTCTATAAAAAAAAGAAAGGCGGCAAGAAGTCAATCCATTCAATAATAGCAAAGTTACAGCCAGTTACTGCCAAAAAATGAAAATTTCAATAATTTGACCTTCAAAGTCAAGGTCATTTACGAGTAAAGGTCAGGGTCTGTCTGGTTAATTTAAAGGGCTATCCTTGAAGATCATTATGTTTTAATTTGAAGACAATCCATTCAAAAATAATAAAGTTATAGCTAATTATAGCAAGAAGCAAAATTTGGACATTTGACCTTAAAGGTCAAGGTCAAGGTTAGTCTGGTCTACTGAATGGTCTTGTCCCGATGGTTGTTGTGGCCAAGTATGAAGACAATACACCAAGAACTTAAAAAGTAATGATCAAGGTACAAGTGTGCAGACGGCAACGCCGCCAGGACTATAACAATATCTCTATTTATTTTTATTTTTTTCAAAAAAAAAGTCAACTAAAAATCATTGAACCGGAAAATGCCCATGATATGCACAACAAGACTTGGCACTGATCATTCCTGTAAAGTTTGGAAGAAATTGCACCAGTAGTTTCTGAGGAGTAGTCAACGGACAGACAGACAGACAGACAGACAACAGTGAAGTGATCCCTATATGTCGCCACTTCTCTGTAGAGGCATCAGAAAAATCATTGAACTGGAAAATGCTGACTTGGCACTGATCATTCCTGTAAAGTTTGGATGAAGTTGCACAAGTAGTTTTTGAGGAGTAGTCCAGACAAGTTTTGTGATGGATGGACAGAAGGCCAAGCAGACAGACGATGAAGAATTGATCCCTATATGTCACCACTACTCTGTAGGGGTATCACAATAAAATCATATTCCTGACTCAGATGCATATGCTTTAGCCAATATGACTTACTATAAGATTTGCCTATAGAATACATAGCTTGATTTGTGAACAGGAGTGTTTAAACTATTTGTGAATTTTATAACAAGTCTTCATCAGCCTATCTTATTTCTATAGACTATAGATTCCAGATATTTTTTATGATATCTCAATGCTAACCTAGTACATAATGGCTAAAAAAAATTTGTTAGTAAGCCAATTCAACCAATAGCCAACACATTTCATAGTTCTACCTGGACAGTGGAAGCTGTTAGCTATCTTTATTCATGATGATTAATCTCATTTGTAGCTGAAAAATGGATTAAAAAATATTCCCAATAGAAGTCAAAATAACGCATTTTTTCCCAATCAGTCCGGTACCGGCACCATTCTCAAAGTAGAGGAAAAAAAACACTGTCATGATACAGTCAAATTTGTTAGCAATGGCCATCCGAGAGAATGTGACCTTTATATAACATGAAAATGAAACACGTGTTCACTGAAAAATGTAGCCAAGGTAAAAGTTGTCATCAATATCAAAACTAAACTATTTTTAAGGATAAAAAAGGTCTATAAATGTTAAGAAAGTCTAAACAATCATATTTTTTTTCATCTTTAATTGTCTCCCTTGCATGTACATGTATACTATCCCATAGGACATAACAAAAATGTAAGCATGTTTTAAAAGCAAAGATGCATGTACATATATAAGGTTGAAAAGGTTAAAAAAAATTAACTTGTTTTCTTTTTATTACATTATTTAAAACTTCTGATTATAATGCATGATCTTCCATTAACTTAAACACTTTTCTACAAAATCAGTACTTTTCTATAATATCTAAGTTAAAGTCTAAGTTAAACTTAAAATCTCTTCATGTGTTATGTCCACCTCCGACCCCTCCCCCAACTTGCAAAACCATCACCCAACATTTAAATATTATTGCCATAATAATTTTTTCTATAATTCATTTTATTTCTATTCTTCCTAAAAGGCAAAAATACATTTCTGTCATTTTCAACACTCAAAATCTTTAAAGGAATTTATTCCACTCACCCTCATTCCCTAAATCAAAATTTTTCAAAGGAACATTTTCATCCCTTTATCCCACTAAAATCATTTCAATAAAAATTTCCCCTCTCTTTTCACACAAAATCTATCCAGGATTTCATTTTCTCCAAAAAAATTCCCAAAATCAAATATCTCCCCCAAACACCCCCACCCCACCCCAATCCACCTAATGCTTCTAGGAATACAAGTTTCTATGTTCCGTCCAATTTCCCACAAAAAATCAAGACTTCAACAATAAATGTTCCCAAGCCCTCACAATCCTTTCAAGAATTCCTACTCCAATCACTATCCTCTCCCTCCTTCAAATTGCTTTCAGGAATTTATTTTTCTCCCCCACTCAAAATAAAGAATTCAAAAATCAATTGTCCCCCTCCTCATCATCACTGTCACTGTCAGAAATTTGTAAATGATCAAAATCACTCCTCTCACGTTGTGATTTCTCAAAGAAATAGTCAAATGGATATGTTTTACTGCTTAATTCTGTCACTAACAATTCCTCTCTCTTTTCTTTGTCATATCTCTGAACCTGTAGAAGAAAATAGCAAAAAAATGTAAGTTTGACTGACACAAAAAGTTCCTGTATTTTGGAAACAATGAGCTAAAAATTTCCTGTACTTGGGTAAAAAATAATGAACTAAATAGTTCCTGTACTTTGGTAAAATGATGAACTAAATAGTTCCTGTACTTGGATAAAATGATTAACTAAATAGTTCCTGTACTTGGATAAAATGATGAACTAAATAGTTCCTGTACTTGGGTAAAATGATGAACTAAATAGTTCCTGTACTTGGGTAAAATGATGAACTAAATAGTTCCTGTACTTGGGTAAAATGATGAACTAAATAGTTCCTGTACTTGGGTAAAATGATGAACTAAATAGTTCCTGTACTTGGGTAAAATGATAAACTAAATAGTTCCTGCACTTGGGTAAAATGATGAATTAAATAGTTCATGTACTTGGGTAAAATGATGAATTAAATAGTTCCTGTACTTGGGTAAAATGATTAACTAAATAGTTCCTGTACTTGGGTAAAATGATGAACTAAATAGCTCCTGTACTTAAGTAAAAAATGATGAACTAAATAGTGCATGTACTTTTGGGGGAAATGATGAAATGAACAGTTCCTATATAAATTGGGTAAAAATGAAGAACTAATTTAATTACTTATGAGATAAATAATTCTGATACTTAGGTAGTGAAAATGATGAACAAAATAGTTCATGAAATTCTGCAGGAGATGTTTAAGCCATTAACAGCCAATTCATGCTGATACCATATCAATATACAATGATATATAATCTACTACACAGGTGAAAGTTCACAATTATCTTAAAATGAATTTTATCACGTTTTTAACATTCTAATCTTGGTTGTACAATGTCAATAATTTATTTATACATGTATAACCTTTAAAAGCAGCTTCACTGCATAATAACTGTAACTCTACTGTCTTTATGAACAATTTTGCACACTGTTGCTTTGTGATTTTTACGAAAACATAATTCAGCCAAATTTTTTTTATAAGGGCAAGGGAGGTAAATCTTGCAATAACAATTTACATAATGTTTCAGATCATCAAAAATAGACAAAAGCAAAGAACTTACCTGAGCCACAAAGTCTGACCCTTGACCTTTGATATCTAATTTGGTAACTTTGTTAAATAATTTTTCAGCTGATAATACATTATGGACTCCATTTTTAATGAAAAACTGAAAATAGAAAAATGTAGATATGTTAAAGGGACTTCTCCATAAGGTTTTTTAAAATAAAGGGATTGGAAATAGTTTTTTGAGATTTGTGTACAATTTATGCACATTGATGAACGTCTGAACTAATAACTTGTCAGATCACTTTCTCACTCCTTAAAATGACTTAAAATTAAAAAGTATAATCACTTTAAACTAAAATGAAGCAAAGATTGCCTCCGAACAATTGATTTTCCGTTTAACTACGTTTAAGTTCATTTGTATAACTATACTTCTTCATCATCTATTTTTCAAGTGCACCAGTTGATTAATGTTTAATGAATATATTAATCAAAACAGAACATTTATGCTATTCTAACAGTCTTGAGCTTGGTCAGACTACACAAAGGTGCAGACTGTCCTGACTTTTTTCTTTTCTTCTTCTCTTTTTGAGTGGATTTAATGTCAAACCAACTCAGTATAGTTCATATGGCAACTTTCCAGCTTTAATGGTGTAGTAAGACCTCAGGTGCCCTTCTGTGCATTATTTCAGGCATGAACGGGCACCTAAATAAAACAACCAATACTGTTAGCTAGCCAGAGAGCTTCCTCACATGAAAGAATCTAAAGCAGCTGTCAGGGTTTGAACCCACACAGCGGTGAGGGGTGAGGGGCAAGTGGTCTGTGGCATCAATGGCAAGACATTTCCCGTTCCAGCCAGGTAAGGGTTTAAGCTTTCATCACAATGGGACTTAAATAAATACATTTCACAATAACTTAGTACTTACACTAGCAACATTTTGGCAGTCTCTATACAAAAATTCCATGGCTTTAGGATGTGTGATATCTACAGACTGACTAACATCAATGATCCAAACTTTCTCTCGCCACCAAAGCATGTTATACTCGCTAAGATCTGCGTGAACCAGGCCACATTCTTTGTACATCTTTCTTAAAAACTGCAAACAAAGTATACTTTCATCAAATACGAACATTTTAAAAATTAAGGTAAATGTCATTGAAAGGTTAATGTCCTATTTTAATGCAGAAAAATCAAAAAATAAATCATTTTTATGTTGATTTTGACACATTTTATGGTGATATCTTCGAGGCTGATCCACCTAACCAACTTTCCAGGACAACTGACCTAAAAATTACCTTTTCCTCTGCAAGTTAACAACTGCCTACCTCACATGATTTCTGAACAAATGACCATTAGATTCAATGTCCAAGATCAAATGTCACAGGAGCAATTCCACCTCACCCCGAGTATAAAACCACCAACACTTGAGCAGGTAGACAAATATTTCTTTGTTTAAAATCAAAATCAACTCATTTTATGGCTTTTGATAATATTAAGAGCTATAAGATCTCTTTCATAAAACGTTTGACACAGTATTTACATAATTACCTGATCTTTATCCAAATAAGCCACTTACAATGCTTAAAAAAGCAGACAAATTTCGAGTCTAACAGGTGGCCAAGTGGTAATGGTGACTGCCTCAAAACTCAAGATCGAGTTATGTGCTTGAGACTTACTTTAATGTGTATAAAAATGCTGGTTTAGTAGTTTCAGGAAGTGAACTGGATTGGTGGATATAATAAATTGTAAGCTTGCTTCATAATCAAGCTAAATTCAACATGATTGAATAAACAGGTAGTGCAGATTACAAGCAACAAAGTGGTAAACTTACAGAGACAACTTGATCATAAGCATCTTCCAAATCTGCTTGAGACATTCTAGCATCTTTTAACTTTGGTGCCGGTCTCTGATCTTGACCGATAAACGACATCACCAGTACGTGTTTCCGTAGTAACTGTACCTCGGGACACGGAATGTCGAACTTTCTCATCCTGCAACATACATATTATACAGTGATAAAGACTTTATGATTAGGATCACCTCAGTGAGACCTGTAATGATAATATTGAGACCTTTATAAAAGTCTTGTTACACTGTTGTCAAAAGCTTGGTAACAATAATGTTTTAAAAATTTGGGCCACATACATTTATTTATACCTAACACTGCTGTGTTGAGAGACTACTGTAACCGTCTGTAGATGGAGTCCTGCAGATGCATTTAACCTGGCAGGCAAAAAAAAATATACAGCTTTGATATTATTGGAAATTGGTTTTTTCATTTAACTCTGAAATTTTGCCATGCAGTGACAATGTATTTAATTTTAAGACATTAAGAATGCATGAATTCCTAATCATTAATAAAGCAATATGCTTGAGAGTAACTCATCATTTATTATTCATGGTATAAAATTGGAAATAAAGAATGTTATTTTCAATCTCTGTGCATAGTTATTTAACAAAACCACTGTTTACCACTTCTGTTAGCATACCTGTTAAGGTTTGCCACTTCTTTCATCGCCCACATTTTGATGATTTTTCTTGGATTCTGTTTTTTGTAGTCATCCTTTGAGAATCTATGATCTCCGTGGACATACTTCTCTCGTGTTTTAAATTCATTCAGTGTTGTCTTGAAAACTTTGATTGCAACTTCTGCAGGCAAGGGTTGATCTTTTATACTGTAACAAATATATGAAATATGAGCCGTGTCATGACAAAACCAACATAGTGCGTTTGCGACCAGCATGGATCCAGACCAGCCTGCGCATCCGAGCAGTCTGGTCAGGATCCATGCTGTTCGCTTACCAAACCTATTACAAGTAGAGAAACTGATAGCAAACAGCATGGATCCTGATCAGACTGCGCGGATGCGCAGGCTGGTCTGGATCCATGCTGGTCGCAAACCCATTATGTTGGTTTTGTCATGACGTGGCTCAAATATGTTTGAAATAATTCTTCTTAAAGAGGACAAATAACATTTAACTACAATGTATGGTTCTTTGGCAATGTATGTGAAGAAGTAGGTAAGGTTGTTTAATTGATTAGAATTGAAATAATACATTAAAGACACTTAGTATCTGTCCAACAAAGTCTGTAGTGGCTTGTTTGCGAGTGCATATTAATTTTTTATTTCTCTTTATATTTCAATTTGTCAAAAGAGTAATTTATCATTCGCTTCTCACAAAGAAACATTTCATTTCTACATAAGAAGGCAAAATCTGAATCTGAAACCTTCTGACTGTCTATTTCAAATAAAATGTTTTCCAGAGTGATTATCACTGTTTAACTAACCATTTTAATTACTTAAATGTTTTGCCTATTCGGACAAATTGTGCAGTCAAATAAACAAAGAAAAGACAACAACTAAGCTAGTTAGATTCTCTGCTCTACCCTGTTCAAAATGTTAATTTTTTTTGCTTCTTAGCACCAAACATAAATAGAGGATACTGAAAGAAAGCAGGTTCAATACTGAATTTATTGAACGAGTTGATTAAAATTATAATATGCGAGCCTCTGGCTTTCTTAATTGTGTTCAAAGAGTCAAAGTATATGCCTTGTTGTGCAATATCAATTTTTACGGAGTCACAAAAGCAACAAGGGTATGTGATAAATATAAACTTCTAATATAGCTTTTATATTTGAGCCACGTCACGACAAAACCAACATTGTGCGTTGACGACCAGCATGGATCCAGACCAGCCTGTGCATCCGCGCAGTCTGATCAAGATCCATGCTGTTCGCTATCAGTTTCTCTACTTGTAATAGAGTTGGTAAGCGAACAGCATGGATCCTGATCAGACTGCACGGATCCGCAGGCTGGTCTGGATCCATGCTGGTCGCAAAACCCATTATGTTGGTTTTGTCGTGACGCGGCTCACTTGTCACTGTAACACATGTAACACATACCTGCCACCAATGGCATGATGTACAACAGACTCCTTCCCAGTACTGATACTACCACTGACAGATTCTAACGTACCATTGTTAACAAGTTTATAGAGAATCAGCCTCGTTCTTGGATCCATTGCATGCTCCTACAAACAAATACAAAGAGGAAACTTTATGTAACTTAGAAAATACATATACCCTACTTGATGTATAACACAACAATGCTTTAAAGATATATTATTTAATATTTAAATTACATATGTGAAAATAAAGTAACGTTTAAAATGTACATTATCTTTTCAGTAAAAACAAAAAGGAATGTTTAGCTTCAAACTCTAAATACTATAGGTAAACGAAGTATGAATTTATAGTGTCATGAAAAAACTGGCATTTTTTATAGGATAGGACCAAATTAACTTGCCCAGTAATAGGGAATGCAGCTTCCAAAGTTCAATAGTTAATGTATTCTCTTATTCAAGTTAGACATATTAAGTAAGAATTTCCTAACTGCAAAAAAGTATTTTACATAAAGATGGGCAAAGTATATCTTTAACGCGATCCCTAAAGGCCAACCAGTCTTCATAATTATTTTACTGCACATCCTTGTAGCTATGTTTAAAATTGATAACTTTATTTCCTGAACAAAAGAGAATACTACAAAAACCCACACTAGCTGTTAATCAACGCAAAGTCTAAGATTCAGCATAATTTTTTTCATCAGACCATAAAAACTGAATTAAACTCGTACTGCTGTGGAGTGTTCTTTTTTGTCATGTAGTCTTTGATTTCTTTTATTTTCAGAGTCACTGTGACGTTTAAGTTTGTTGTAGACGTGGTTTGGTAGCTGCATATCCATTCCTTCACCATCCCCACTCACAAACTCTGGGGGGAACTGAAAGACAAGAAACAAACACAAATCTTATAAACCACATATACAAAAATAATGTTTACAAAATTATTTCAGAATCACTAAATGCAGCACATCTACAGATTCATGATACTAATTTTTCTGGAAATTTTGAAAATGTATTTAAAAGTAATATATCTGGATGAACAAAGATAGTAATTTAAACATACCCCGGTAGCAAATGGCACTTTAAATACTAGTAAATTACCATAAAATATGTCACTTAAAACCCTTACTGCGTTAGTCACACAATAGGAATATGCTGACAAATACTGCAAAATCACTCATTCATAGCATGTTACATTTAAATTATTACTTGAATTGTAAACATTTTTACTATTCTTTAGTATCAGTGAATTTTTCTTTAATGTTCTTTGTCTTGAATTGTTTGGCTCATCTGGAGGCATGCAGCTTTAAATGTGCATGATCAAGTTTGTTATTTAATTGGACTGATTCTCAGTATTCAATATGTGGCAGTAATATCTACTTCTTCTAAACAACTGTATGTTTTAAATGTTTGTACCATGTATATGTCAATGTATATGTACATGTATTCCATACTGAAATAAATCTATCTAGGAATGCTTGCCCACTATCAGAATTATCATTACGAGGCCGTCAAATGACTTATCTTACTGTTATAATCATTTTCAACTATTGGTTTTTTGGTTTTTTTTTACTTTGATATTGAAATCCCTAAAATTTTATATGGACTGTTCCAAGTTAAAGGGATGGACATATCCATTACACAAATTCAGCAGTATCTAGGTTGTGAACTATACTTACATTCATCATTTTAGAGGCGTTTTTCCTGCCACAGATTACAGCATCATGCTTGGTGGTTATATTCTTACCCTTGCCTGAATAACCCTGGGCATTGAATGATGGTGATTTATTGTCTAAAATAGAAACATATTGTTACCTTTTAATTATTTTTATAAAAAGCTTAGATGATTACAAGTACAGAACTCAAAATGAAGCTTTTTCATGAAGACGTTTATATCAATGACCGCTACAACAATAGAGCCATCATAACAGCTTGTGTTTCTCTTTGAAAAAGATAAGCTGAAATAACAGAATTAAAAACTGTCAGATTTTTTTATTTTAATGATTTAATGCATGGTAAAAGCTTAGTTATAATTTCTTTCCTACCATTATATTAGAAAGAAAATTATAATATAATTGTCTCGTGTTTAAGAATTTAATGACCATTTCTCACTTTTTCCCTTAATTTAATAACAAATTTCAAGCGGAGACATACTTTTTACTTCTTATATTTCATTAGCCACAAAGTACCTAACAGAAAGAAATGTGAAATTTAACAAATGTAGGGAGGTGATCTTCATTATGTTGTAGAAGATTTTACCAAACAATTTGAACATACTGAAATCGTAGACTGAAAGCCTAGTCATAAAGAAAAGAAGGAAAGCACAATCCTACACGATATTTCACACTTACCCCATGGTGATTTCTCAGTGTAACCCTCATCATCAAGATTTTCATCATCATCGTCATCATCACTGTATGTCGGATGTGGGCAAATATAATTACTGTAAGATACTGTCACTGAAAATAACAATTGTAAAATAATTATACCAAAATCTTGAAAACTTCTCAACATAGACTTACATTTAAATAACACCAAAAATATAGTAACAACTCACAGAATTTTCCTGATTTGAATAAGGCAGAAAATTAAACAGCTTATTGGAAAGGAAGGTCTACAGTTGTCATTATAAAAACTTGAACAAGGTAATCATTTCACCTTCATCATAATCAATAGTAAAAGTTGCTGTCAAATGGTCTGATTTCCTAGAGACTGGGAGAAATGGATACATGAACCTTACTGCACATTAATTCAAACATAAAAAAAACAGTTTGCACTGCAGATATTTATCCTCCAACTGAGAAATAAATTAATACCTTTCTTCCCCCATAAGAGAAAGTTGCCTCTTTTATATAGAATATGTCTATTACTCTTATACTGTTAGAATTTATTTCCGTTTTATTGTGTTTGTAGGAAGCTGTAGGTTAACAGACACACTCTCAAATCCATTCCTGGAACCAAGCAGTACCAAGCAATGAGTGAAAAATATTCCTTGCAAAAGGAAACAACAGCTTAAACCTGATAAGGGGGAAACCAGTGTAGCTGGAAATCGTTAGATTTCTAATCTGATTCATCAACCACTTGGCCACTAAGCCCTAATCACCTGAAGCCTCACAGCGAAAAAGACTGGAAAAGTTAACTGACTATTCTAACCTTTATTAGTTCCATTATTATGTTTTTCCTCTGCTTTAAGAAGTTTGTTATGTTCCTCATCATACTGTATTTGTAGCATACGTGCCAGCACGGCATCACTATCAGTATCAGGGTCACCAGATGTGGCCCCGATCAAATCTTGAATCTCTGGTTCTATGTCAACTCTAAAATATAGAAATATTTTAGGTAATATGTTTAATTACTACATGTATATCTTACCAATGTACTGTATTATTTTATTATATTACAAGAGTAAAATTTTACCATTTTACATACTCCATATTATGTTGCTGCCACTTAATGAATTTTGTCATCATTGTATTTCCATTTTTAGAATACAATGTATATAGTAATTAGTATATATCTTGTATATCGAGGATGTAGCTGGAAAAGCTATAATGTTGGTTCAAAAGTTTTAACAGATATATAGTTAGGTAAAAAAAACAATATGGCTCGTCCCTAATTATTGATCTAGGAGCATAAAAATTCTATTCTTACAAGAAGCTTTTTTTTCCCAGAACATATATATCATCACCTTGAAACACGAGTAAGGCTTAAGTAACTTTGTGTAAAAATGAGAAAAAGAAACCACACGATTGATTTGAAATTAAAACAAATCATGTCAAACAGAATCTTCCCCTTTAAGGAAAAGTAATCGTGTTAAAAATATGATTTTGATGCAAACCCTAAAGCTTGAGCAGAGGAAGTTTCAAGTGCTGTATTTTCTGTCTGTTGTAGTTCTCCTGCTAATTGCTCACTCATCACTTCTTCAAGGGAGCATGGTACAACATTTTTCGTCTTTCCCCACGGTGAACTTGCAGTTTGTGTTTCACCCCAAGAATTTGGTCTTTGTGTTTCTGTTACTGTTCCTTCCATTGATAAAACTATACAATCTTCAGGTGTGCTTTTAAATACTTTACCTACAATATTAAATTTTATTGTCATGAAATAATGTATTATTTAGAAACAAGAAATATTTTAGCAAACTAAAGTCTATAACCTGAATTTCTAAAACTCTTCAAGATCAAAGCTGCTGATCATATTCTCAATGCCTGTATAATGCCCCATACTTTTAATTTATGAATATTAAAAGTAAAGGTTTGAATTACATTTTTAATGTGATATTCTAAAGCTTTTATTAATTTAAAAGCAGGGATAGAATGAATAAATATAATAAGTTAAGTAAGATATTTTGTCACTGAAAAATTTTACATTCACAATAATTAAGTGAATTTAAGTCTCTTCTGCATAAGGCCTCATGTTTACATGCTTAATCATCAACATTTATATCATATTTCTGACCGTTTGGAAAAAAACAACACTGAATATCCTAATTATTACCTGTTATAAATCTAAGAATTTTATTATGACAAGTAAAAAGGTGAAAACATAAAGATTTAAAGGCTATCAAAAAATGTAGTTTATGATGTTTTGATAGCCTAGGCTGCTGTCTTTACTTAAGTTAAGCACCAACAATGAAGTGCTTCATTAATTAGAGAAAATCACATTTGTGTTTACTATATCCAACACCAACATTAATGTTAATGCATTAGCTTTGTTAAGTAAAGTTGTCCACAAAATTAAGCATCCTCAAACCAATGAAGCATGTACCATATAACTTTTTAAGCAATGTTTGATTGACTCATGATTGTCAGTAGCCCTGCGTATGGGTTGAATAAATTCTTTACTTTAACGCATCTTCTCGCAAAAATTGCACGGGACGTATACTTTTTGACAAAACAGAAATTTATGGGGTCACAAAGCAGAAAATTTATCCCAACACTGAACAATATTTTCAATTTGTTATAAAAATAGAAAAAATTAACAGTAATCATATTGACAACATGAATACAGGTCAGGGGCGTAACTAGTTATGAAAAGCTTAAGGTGTCTTGTTCAGAACGTATTCTTGGCCGAGATATTCCCCTAGCATTGGCTTGGTGGCCTGTTTTTGCGCAACGTGCTTCTTATTCGGCGCGCAGGTCGCCCGCAATAATTTTTTCCCAAACTTTTTACTATTCCCGTATCGGCCCTTTTGTGTCCTCTTCTGCTTTTGATTGGGTGCCTTATGGGTGCCCTGCTGGTGTGGCTGGGTTGTGTAGGGGGCTCAGTTCTGCCAACTAGCCTTGAATGTTTGATTTTTAATCTCATCTTTTAATCAGAAAACAAGTAACAAATTGGTGTAATTTCTCAATGTCATATTAATCAATTGATTGAGAGAATTACTTTGCCGTGCCAAAAAGGGCAGAAAAAGACAAAGAATGTACAATTCCTTCTCAATTTTATGCATTTATTTAAAAGAATAGTTATATTCTAAAATAAGTTGTTGAGATTAAATTTATCATTCTCTGTGGTCAGCAAAACATTACGATGAGTCATCAAGCAAGTTACATCATTATAAAAGTCGTACATGCATATATCTGCTTATGAATTTACTTTATCACAAAAGGTCTTAAATAAGTCCTTTAATGTATTCACATGATCCACATAATCTGTTATATGCAACAATTTTTAATTAATTTACTGAAATTTCTGAAAGGAGATTTTGAAATATCTTTGCGTGTAATATAACGTGTAATATAACGCGTTTTTTTTATATATGTACATGTATTGTAATGTAATGAAATATTTAACAGTCCAAAACACTCACTGATTTCACACCATTATCGTTCTTAAATTAATATATTGTTAAAACAGTTGCTACTTATGAAGGTGCAGAATGACAGTCTTTCCTCAGAGAGCATTGGGGCATTGTGTGAATATACTCATCTTTGTCAAGAGTCTCAGCGTTAGACTTATGTGATGGACTAACGTGAATTTGACAATTCCGTCCAACGGACCCGGCTTTTCTAAAGAAAGCAAGGATCTGTACCCAAACATGATATATAATCAGTTCAATTAAAACAAACGCTTGCTTTAGTTTTCGACGTTTCTAGCGGTTTTTTTTTTAATTTAAAATTTACTGAATACGGGAGATTTGTTGCTATAACATCAGTTTGAAAGTCGCAAAATGACAATTTTTTCTGCAAAAAAAATCGATTATAAATATAAAAAAGTTCTATGGTATATGTAACGTACTTGTTCAATTTACCTATTTTAAAATTAACAAAAAGAGTTTGAAATCATTACCAATATTGCCTCCAGATAGTCACAAAATGCCAGGATATCGCTTCCTCTTTCAAAAAAAATTTCTTGGGGGAGCATGCCCCCGAACCCCCCTTCTTAAGGAGTACATACCAAAATAGCTCAGTTACGCCCCTGCAGGTCATAGTAAAGCAGTATATATAATAATTATAAATATAAAATTGTTCCTGTACAACAATATATGGCACCTTCGGAAAGATATTCTTGCAGAATGTCAATGATCAGCATTTAAATAGGCGTATTTAGGCCTAATAAATCAAAGTTGTTCATGCACCGGAGTAAAAATGAATAGCCTAACCACTAATAAGGAAATTTAATTTTAATTATCACATCTGAAAATAATGTTAAAACTGTTAAAATCCTTTTTAAATGAATTCTAATCACATCACTTTAAATTTGCCAATATTTGGATTCATCAAATGTTTAACTACTGTAAAATAAAATATATCTGACTGAAATTTTCAGAAAAAAAAAGATTTAAACAACAAGGAAATTATTTATGACCTGATAACAGATCTATGCCACTCACCTATGGTTTTATTCAACTCGTGTATTAGAATTTAAAGTTCTACGTTCTTCTTTTCAGTCTTCTTTTTTCAAATAAACAACTAACATGAATTTGTGTCTATATGTAATTTGTACCCGTTCTATTTATGGTAAATTTGGTAATGTTTGTTTATTTCTGTCAATCTGTTGTGCAACTTTTTCTTCAAGCGTCTACGTGAAAATTTTCGCCCATAATAATTTCGTACCCATAGTTTTCATACCAAAATCGCCGGATATAAAATTGAAGAAAATATCAAATCATATCTAAAACGATACGAAAAACTGTAAAAATTATAAAATACCTATTATTCATTAAATATCACCACTGAATTATTGTTTAAATGCGAAACGTTTCACAAGCGTTTTAGCACCCTGATTATATTTATAAATAATGTACGAATTATTTTTAGTAACATTATCGGCACATGATAATATATCTATACATTCATTGTATTATTTCAATAGATAGATATTTTTATTAAAGAGGGAAATACGTTCCGGAGGTATGTGTTTGTCTTTATTGTAAATTTGTTTTCCTTAAATTTTCCTTAAATTATTGATTTATAAACATGAAATTATATTGTTCTATACAATTTTTACATGTAATCACGGACTTTAATTGACAATATATAAATCCGTGATGTAATTCAATAATTTTGGTTTAAGAAGTATTTTATAATAGAATTAAGTTCAGTATTATGTTAAGTTCTCATTAAAAATTGTTGACAAATAAACCAGTGTATCAAAAATGAGACACATTAGTTTCATGTATGTGCTGTTGTACATGTTCATTGTCCGATTGAGTTTGATGTCCCCATTTTTTTATTCACTTGTTTTGTTTTGTTCTAATTTCATCTGGGAAGATAGATCGCGGGAATCATAAAATAGATTTCTTCTTTGTTTATTTTAGACATTTTCCGAGTCGGACATTACATAATTTATTAATACCATTGAAACAATGTTTGTGTGAAGAAAAAAATTAAGGCACGTGATCCTGGGACCCAGCGTGATCATATAGTGCTACCCGTGCCAAAAACCGTAACCCATGTAGTCATCGACTCTGAGACTCGTGCACACTTATGTAATCTTTCCAGTTTGAATTAAAATGATACTGGTGACAAAAATCTATATTACGAACTATCTTCGTAGGACGGGGATAATTGGGACTTATAAGACTTAATTGGAAAAAAAAGTAATTTATTTTGGACCGGGTTGTATATTGAAGAAAGGTCAAGCATGTGATTCTTAAAATAAACAGCAAACTCCTTGATAAAGAGGGGTTTATCCCATTGAAACGTCGATCGGACAATGATGAACTTTTTTATGTTTCAGTTTCAGTTAGTTAATTAATTTTTGTTTTGAACAGTTTCAGTTAGAAATTTATGATTCAGTTTCAGTTAATGAATGTGTTTCATATACATGTAGTTTTAAGTAGATATTCACTAAAATATGAAGATTTTCCTATAAGTTATCTTTCATAAATTTACTAGCTAGTATGATTATCACAGAAATCTATTGCAATATCCCTTATTTTCATCATCTATTCATCAGCTTGTTATGATGTTATAATCTGGCACGTGCATATCAATTGTACCACTTCATTTTTACATTTTATTTATGAATATCCTATTATAGCAAACTATATCGAAATGTCCGGAGGAGCTTGGAGTCAAGGGCCACCAAGCTGGGTTCAAACATCACCTAAAATGCCAACATCGCAAACAGAAGACATAAAAACAATACAGAGTAACGCGGAGTCGACTGGAGATGACAGTCGGAATCCCTCGGCGAATCAGGTTAATCGCACTTCAGCGGGATTTGGCGGAGATCGTCGAGAAGCCTTAATCCGACCATCTAGCAGGTTAGATTTGGCGTAAAATTCATTTTTGAAAAGTTGAGAATAAGATTACGGTGTAAATTTTAGGTGATAAGGTTTTTAAACATTAAACGAAATTAATGAAAACCAAACAATCAAAAAACAACAACTTCAGTATTAGAGTGTTCGCCTGTAAAATAAAACAGTTTCATTAGCAGCTGAACATTATAATATCAGAGAAATGCCCTAGCTATTTGCCAATATTGATAATGGTTAAATGTCCGACCGCATGAGCCTTTGACAAGACATGATGTAAATCACACAATCATGTTAACATGATAATATCATAGCAAAAACAATGATCACATAAGACAGTAACGGCGTTCCATACTTAGCTTGCCGATTTTGCGACTCCGTTAATATGGTATTGCACGGCCGTGCATATATTTAAACGTGACGTATACAAAAATACTAAATAGCGTAAAGACGCGCTAAATGTTAGCGTTATACTATAAGCGCGTCATTGAAAAATGACTCTTATTTCCTTTAAAACGGTCTTTAATTTAGGTATGTTTAATAAATAGAATATTAAATTCGTGTAAGATCATTACTGAATTTATTGAACTTGTTGAATAAAATAATATTATGCTCGCCAAAGGCTCGCACAATATAATTTTATTCAACTCGTGCAATAAATTCAGTATTGAACTTACACTCATTTAATATCCTCTATATATTATAAATATCTAAAATTCACCATTTTATTTTTTCTAGCCAAAAACGTGCTACAGTTCGGCGTGATACATCGCCATGGTACCCTGGGAAAGTGAACAGAAATAGGAAACGAGAACAATTAGAATCACAGAAACATACGAACATGAAGTCAGCGTCGTGTGGTACGTCATTGAACGAACGTGGGAACAATTCGGATATTACGGTGGTGAACGTACATAAGAAAGATCTAAATAAACTAGGTTACAAGGATCTCGTCGAATGGGTCAAACAGCCAAATCATTTATATATCGGGCGTGACATGACGCGCTTTGTACCGGGTGCCGTGCATAGCAAATGGCACAATCCGAATAAATCCAAAAACGTTGGTAGCAGAGAACAAAGTTGTAAAATGTTTAGAGAATATATACTGGCCGATAAAACTATACAGAGCAATGGTAAAACATTGTTACAATCACTAGGAGAACTGAAAGGCAAAACTCTCGGCTGCTGGTGTCATCCGGAGAAGTGCCACGGACATGTACTAAGGGAACTCGTGAAGGAATTTTGTTCTTGACTCAGGGATAAACTTAATTCAGTTTAATTCGTACACATGCTGTCATTGTCGTAACTCTCAGACAAATGCTTAGACTTTGATCTTATAATCTTGTGTAAGATATTTTTGTCCAACCTTTCAGTTTCTTGTGCAAGGCGGTATCATTGTTTGTAGAAGACTGCGTTTCTTATTCTTTAGAGTTGTTTCCCCTTACTTGATTAATTTGTTATACATTTTTGATAAATTTGATGTTGATTCATTTGTAACGTGACTGTATTTATTTTTTTAAGTAATTTTATTTGTGACTTCATTTATATTTGAATAAATTTGATCAATATCTGAGTGTTGCTGTCAATACGGTACATACTCTCACTGGGCATAGCTTTCGCAGAAGCGATGGATCCATCGCGGAACAGTTGACTCGAATCTTCGCAGAAGCGGTGGGAAAAAATGACAGTTGTCGATAAGTTTATGACTGAAATTTATGCTGTTTTAATGTTTTACTGGAAGCGCCTAGTGAGACCAGGGCCCACATATGTACTCTTCCAACGAATTGCACGCAAACGCTTTAATTCATTTTAATTTATGCAAACACGTCTGCACACTTTAACGAGGGGACGCCACTTTTGCCAAATTTTGGTTAAAACACGTACAAATGGGTGCAAAACGACCCATAAATACTCCGGCAACGCATCGTATGCATGAAACTTTTTCAAAACAACCATATTTTTAAAGTTTGGAAGTTGTCATTAAAAGAATTGACAAAATGATTTAAACGCAGACGGCGGTGGATTCGGGTGCAACCCAGTCAGGTTGGCCCGAAACCATTTATCATTAATGTCTATTTTGAGAGTTTAACTTAACATAACGTACTTTTCAATTGAGTACAACCTTTTTCTTACTTTGACACCAGAGACACATCTTTATTTGGTGTCTAAAACAAGAACATTTTATTTATATAAAATGTTCTTGTTTTAGACACCAAATAAAGATGTGTCTCTGATGTCAAATTTTGTCAATTTTCCCTACCTGGAATATTTTACTATTTGTTTGGTAGGGAAGTCACGTGATATGCCCCCGCTCCTGCAGAAACGTGTTGTCGGTAGAATTTCAATTTTAAATTTTGTCGAATTTACACGGAAACATATTTTTCAAATGGGCATCTCGACAGTGATATCCAAACCATGATCACGTGACACCCTGTACCGTGTCATGTATGAATTTTATTGCCAATGATGTAACCTGATTCATTTGTACTACATGTATATATCTCTGTACATATTTGTTTGTTTGTTATTTTAGTAAGATTTTGTATTTATATATAAAATAGTTGCAACAAAGCATCATGAAACTTAAAACTTGTCAATGATGATAAAATTATCGTTAAATAAGCCTGAGACCAAACTTATTATACTATACACGCATAATCATAAGCTATACACGGTATATAACTCGCCCCAAAACGGTCAGTATGCACTCACATTATTTTTTAACATACGACATATTTTCATACTAACAAACACATACGTAGCATAGCAGATAAATCGTCCTCTTTTTATGTACGATCAATGAAGTAAAATCGCGAATTCCCCTGGGTGGTTTGCTTGCAAAGTCACAAAAAATGAATTGCTTAATCGCAAGGATCAATAACTCCAGTGTGAATACAAATTACCTAAATACCAGGATATATCGTTTTAAGCATTAATCAAGTCGCATGTTCTTGTTGTTAGCTAAATGTCTGTGTATAAATTACACATTTTCACCTCAGATTATATGTAGTGAACTGTCGTGTAAAATATCTCTTCCCAACCCAGACTTAAGCCATGGCTTAATGAATCAGACTTTAGTTTATCCATCAGTTCAAATATGTCTTGAAATGATGGAAATGAAATAATCGATATGTTTAAATATTCAATTAATCGCGGTATTAATCGGCCATTCTTGTAATCGATATAATACGGGAGCTTTAAGCACTTCCTATCTGTCGTGGACTTTCGATGACCTTGTTGAAATATCATTTTAAAGTAAAGTTTCATAAAAATGTATGTACATGTATTTTAATATCGAAATGCCGAATACGGTGCATCTTTTATATGGCGTAGGAACCCTACGTACGGAAAGCTATTTATAATCAGTGCGTTTGCTATACGAAACTCTTAAAATCTGTTTGCGCACCTTGTTATGAAGTAATGACAAGTACAGTGCTCGTTACGTTATAATTTGCTTCGGAAAAATATATGTTATGAATTGTGCATCTGATGGATTTGATACGAGGTATGCAGCGTACTTTTCCCGTTTTTCCTCACTTATGAAGAGTTCTAAACTTCTTATTATTATGCACGATCGTGCAAGCAAAGTTATTTTGGAAACGGCATGTAGCTGAAGAAACGTGAACGTATATTTCTCGTTACCAATGTCATTTCAGTGAATACCGTTCAGGTAAGCGGAGTTTTCTATTTTTTCAGGACTTTTGCACGAAAACATGTTATAAATATATTACATGGAAATATCTTCTCGATGTTGCGTTATTTAACAATAAAGGACTTTTTATTGCTAATCTTTAATACTTTATTGAAGGATATAATCATAGTTAATAATCTTATGATTTTTATGAGAGAGAAAAAACGGACACAGACGTAATTTTTACAAACAAATATATTTTAGTATTTTGGCACTGTCTTTGCATAATTTCAGCGTTTTCTGATAATGCTATAAAAGTACGAATGAATGAAAATAGAACTGAACAATACATAAAGTATCAAACGTTTTTAAAGGATTAATGAAATAAAAACAAACAATTCACTGTTTACAAAACACTAAAGAATTTGTAAAAGAGCTAGAAAACATTGCCATTGTCCTCTCCGTAACGAGGCTTTTCAGTAACGTACGCGTCTACCTATGTTTAACAAAAACCACACACGTAATAAAAGCCTTTGAGTGCGCAAGTTTGCGCAATTACGTCCATTGTACTTCAATTTTATATAAAGACTTCAATACAATTTAAGTTATTAGAAGATTAAAAGATTTTTTTTCTGTCAGACAACTTGTTATTTTCGAACCAGATTAATGACATTATACCGGGAATATCATCAAGTTTTGCGTGGGATAAACACGGTATGTTACATTGGTATTGCTTTGCATGATTTCTTACAACTTGTGGAATTAAATTCAGAATAAAGTGAATAAAAACAAGGAAATTAATATGTAAAAATATATAATACACGGTTTGTATGTTTTTGTATTATTTTGTGACGGCATGACCGAGTGGTTACTGCGTCGAACTAGTATTCTTAGTGCTGGTAGTGTGGGTTCAAACCCCGTCAGAGGCAAGCCATAGTTTACGTTAGCAAGAAACTTTACATTCATTGCTTAGTGCTAGTTGGTTCCAAAAACGGATTCGAGAGTATTTCAGTAAGCTTATTGCCTCTAACTCAATCGAACGCAAAAAAATCGTATAAACTAAGTATAATTGTTTAACATTAAAATATTAATTACTTAGACTTCGCACTTTTCTTTATAGCAAAATAAGCACATTCTTTTTATTATTAAGTTTAAGAAGTACTAGATGTCCGTCTTCGCAAATGTAGACAATATATATGATAAAAACATTTTTGCTCAAGACAATCAATACAATTACATGTACGATTTATTACAGATAGAAGCATTTTCTTCTTCTGATTTATATGAAATGGATGGGCGAAACCCTTTTGTCCTACTATAAAAGTAATTCAGCAATTAACAAGTTACTTCTATTTTTGGTTTCCCTTGAAGCAGCTAGTGTGCCTCCAGATTCATGCGAATTTTAATGAAAAATTGAAAAGGTATTGAAAAGTAAAATATTGTGAAGGAAACAACTAATTTATCAAAGAAAGTAATTTATACATTGCAAACGACACTTACAATACCCAAAAGGGGTCAAAACATGCAAAATAGTCCTTACTACGTTATTAACGCAGTAGAAAATTAATATGGTGATATATACCGCAAAATCAGTCATTAATTGCATAAATTACTTTAATTTATTATTACTTGAATCTTAAACTTTTTTTTTCAAATCTTTGTACATTTTTCTCAAGTTTGATTTCCTTGAAATATTTTGGCTCATATGGAGGGATGTTTGTTTTTTTCTTTCAAACTAAGCAAAATTCTTACATTTGTGTTAGAAGATAAGCAGCGTGCTAACTTTAAAGAAAATGCAAAATGTATTATTTCTTACTAAGAGTTTTGGTGTGCTACCTGTTTTTAAAATACGTACTGTATTCACTTAGCATTAAGCGTTGTAGATTGGCCTTGGAATTGTTTTTGTTTTTTTGTTGTCAATAAAAGACCCTAAACATATTATTTTAAGTTAAGTAGATCTCGTGATTTGTTGAAAGTTAAGATCCGGTATTTGTTTAATGTTGGGCGGGATTTGTTGCATGGTATTGGACCATGTCTTCTATTGCACGTAGGTGCAAGGGCATTGTTCTGGTGGTTACAAAACTTGTATAATTTGAGGTACTTGGAGTAAAAGAATGAGAGCCTCCGTGTTTTATCGGGCACTGCACTTTTGATACACCTTTAATACCTTTCTAGCATATTTGTAATTTGATTTTTTTTCTTTATGTGTGTTTTGTTTTCCTATATTGTAAAATATGTGACCTAAAATTACAAAATTATATTTCAAAATGCTTGATATATGTACTTTGCAGTAAACTTCATTTAAATATGTATACAATGTCCACATTCATTCTTATGTTTATTGTATTGCTTCAATAACATTTCGTACATCTGTAAACAAAAATACTGACTAATAAAAGAGAATTGGTTATGACGTCTGACTCTTGACCTAGCGGTCGCAATTAGGATCATTCTTTTGTCATGACAATACTGGTATAACTTGAGTATTTCCATATATAAAACATCAATGTTTGATATCCAATGCGGTGAGCTCGAATGAAATTGTTCCCTAGAAGTTGATAGAGAACATGTTTGGTGATAGAATTTAAACACCTTTATAGTAGCTTTAAAATTAAGAAAATTTGCCACTATTTACAGACAATATAGCATAAACAGGACTCCTTTAAACAAATCAACATGTTATTAGTATGAATGTTTCGTGTGATTTAGAACTATCAATTTTCTAAATGACCCATAAAATATCTAAAGGCCTTCATACTACTAAATCCAAAGCACTTTAAGTTAATCTGTACTTCTGATTTTGACAAGTTATTTTTTACAATAAGATTAATTAAAACGTTGTTTAAACCGATTAGAAATTAATACATTTAACAATTTTATTTGCACTTTAACACTTTTCCAGAAATTGTTGAGAGAGAGAAACCTTGTGACGTAACG